GCCTGTCTATTGTTTGGCTGAAAGTGATCTCTTGGAGTGGATTCAGTTCCAGGCTTGAAGGGTGTCTAAGAGCCATAGTCTCAGGGATTCTACCAGTCTCCATCACACCACTAAGTCTGTTTTTTTTTATGACTTTGAATTTTTTTCTATATTTTTCTCCCCCTCTGTCCAGGACCTTTTATCGTGATCCCAATCAGAGCAGTTGTTGGTGGTAGCCAGCACCATCTCCTTCTGGTCTCAGGCTTGTGAAGGCTGAGTTCATATGGTCCATCAGTGCCCTGGACTAACTGTATTATTATTTTTATATATGTAAAATTCAATACTGACTATATACCCACTCCTTAGTTATCAATATGGTTAAGTTCCAAAGACCAGGTCCTAATTGAAAATTGGTGTTACATGAAAATGGAGGATGACTACATCATTATGTAACTGCCAAGCACTGAGAATCATGACCCAGCCAGTTGACACATAACCTTAATCATTTATGCCCAGTGTTACTCTCACCCCACACCTTGGTGTTCGCTACTTCTAGCCATATGTCATTAATGCATGAAACAGATAGTAGATTTTTTATTTTACTATTTGTCATAAATGCAAAATGTTGAGTGATGAGTTTGTTGATAAGTGAGGAATAGGAGTATATACCATTATAAGGGAAATCTCTCAGAAAGCAATTTTAAGCCACCCACTGAACTGAAATAATATTGTGTGAAAAAATTCTAGTACCACAAAAATAATTTATGAAATTTCTACAACATTGATTCCTACCACTGTGATGTGATCTTCAGTCATAGAGATGATCATGAAAGGGCGTCCTTTAGCCTCAGTTTACCATTTTTTCCCCTTGGAGGATGATACTATCTTTCTATAATTAATTGAACATAAGCTTCAAATCTTGCAAACAACAATGAACCACTTGAAACATGCAATTTAGTAGTTGTTTTTGAATTAGTTTTCTTACGCATTCAGAATAATAAGATTTGCAGTCCCCAAATGGAGCATAGGGGCTCTGGTAGCATAGTGCCTAAGGCACTTGACTGCTAACCAGAAGGCTGGTGGTTCAAACCCACCAGCCACTCC